TACCACCAGTGGCGCTGGAAAATGGTATGGCACTTTCTTAAAAAGCTGGAAATGGAAGTACCATATGACCCAGTAATCCCACTACTAGGTGTATATCCTAGAGAAGTAAGAGCCTTGACACAAACAGGTATGTGCACTCCCATGTTCTTTGCAGCTCTGCTCACAATGCCAAAAAGAGGGATACAACCTAAATGCCCATCAGTGGAGGAGTGGATTAACCAACTGTGGTGCGTGTGCACCATGGAGTATTATGTAACATTAAAGAACAGTGATGAATCCGCATAGTATCTCATAACACGGATGTACTTGAAGATTGTTATGCTGAGTGGAATCAGTCATAAAAGAACAGATAATTGTTTGAGACCATTATTGTAAAAACTCAAGCAAAGGGTTTCACAAAAAAAATACTCTTTGATGGTTACCTGGGGTAGGTGGGGAAGAGAGGGTAAACCACTAACTAGAGGATAGAAGAAGTGTATTAACTTGGGTGGAGGCAAGAAAAAAGAAGAAGAGAGTATTGTGGTCTGGGCATTCTGGGTCATTGTCTCTTAATCTTTTTTTAGGTCATAGAGTTCTTGAGAATCCAATGAAAGATACAGATCCTAGCCCCAGAAAAATGCACGTGTGTGTACATACACAACAGTTTGTAGATGATTTTGAATCCTACCCTCAAGATCCTAAACCAAGGGACATCCAAAGACCAAGTCCGGCAAAAAGCCAGAGGTTACTGTTGATACTGTGATTATCACAATATAAGAGTCAAATGTGTCCATTTTATTTTTAAAGCATTAAAATAAGCTAAAAATAGTCCAGGTGCCCATCAAAGAAGAGAACCCACTCCCATCAAGTCTGTTTCAGTTCATAGTGACCCTACAGAGCAGAGCAGAACTGCACCATAGGGTTTCCCAGGCTGTAGATCTTTGGGGAAGCAGACGGCCTCAGAGATAAATGATGGAGTGTCCATGCCGTGGAATATTACACGGCAACAAGAACGCACAGACTTTTGTCACACACGACAGTATGAGTGAAGCTCGCCAAAAACGTCGAGCAAAAGAAACCAGACACGAGAGGCGTATTGTGAGCTTCCTGTCATTTTAATAGGCCCACCCCCCCACTCCCCATCTGTAGTCAAAGTCAGGATGGAAGATAACCGAGGGCGGAGGAGGGCTGTGCTAGGTTGGGCCACAAAGGGCAGGTCATATTCTGTTTTCTTAATCTGGGTGGTACTGCCTGATGAGTATGTCACTTGGTGAAAATTCATCAAACATACAGATGAATTTAGAATTTGTGCAGATTCTGTATGTATGTTATACTTCAATAAAAGTTTCTTAAAATACTGGGCCACATCTGTGCACTTTCAGCCTTTTAGGCATGCTATATTATCATCGAAACCCTCACCCCCCTTAACAAGGGAGGTTCTGCCACTGTCCGCATTTGACAGGTGAGGAAACTGAGGCTCAGAGATGTGAAGCAACTTGCTCGGAGTCAGACGGCATATGGCCTATCAAGGCCATACCCACTGTGCTGGACTGCTGTGTATACAGTGCAGGCAGCCACTACATGGCCTGCAGAGATCTGCGCTCCAGGGCCAGGTTCCTCCCTCAGTGGCGAAAGAGAACAAGCCAAGAATTGAAGCTGGACCAGCCTCTCCACGTGTTTGGGATATTTTATAGGGTGTGTCCCTGAAGTGGGTGCTCTGGGGAATCAGTTTCTAGATTTTGTCTTGAAACAGAGTAGGTGAGGACAGAACTGATTAACCATAGTGTGCCCCTGTCAGTCCCTGCCCTTGTTCCTGGTGGTTACCCAACATTGAGAACAGGGCCCCCTGGTTCAGGTACTGTCATTGACATCATCAGAGAAAGCTCAGCTATTGTCTGAGAAGGCATTCCCAACAGGCTCAGAGGGGGATTTAATCACAGCAATCCTAACACATGGAGGAGTACCCTAGCGCTCTCTTCAGGGTGAAAAGTTGGGGTGATGGTAGAGGAATTTGTCACACAGTATCTTTGGCATTGGAGCAGGGTTTGCGAGAAGGTGTCTTGTTTTCTGCAGTGATTGCCTATGGCTTGGTGGCCCCAGCAGATCCCTCCCCCTTTTTTTCTTAAGCATTTTTATTAGTGCTTGAGACATACTTCAAGAAAATACAGAGAATAATATGCTCTTCCCTTTTTAATAGCTAAATACTTTTGCATCTTCACACCTAAGACTTCTGTGTCCTGCATAAATACAGTGAAGGGAGCCAGGCTTCTCTGGGTTGGGAGGTGAGTCACTGGTGAGGTGAGTGAGCACAGGCTGCTGGGGAGCTAATCGCTCTGTTTCCAAAACGAATGTGTCGGGAAGCGTCGCACCTGCACTCGTCTGCAGAGTGCTCTTCCTTCTCAAGGAGAATGTGCAGGCAGTGGGGTGGCGTGAGCAGGCCCAGAGTCCTTGCCACAAGGCAGTGGGGTTGATACAGAGTGGGCCAGGGGGTTAAAGACTAACGTAGTCCAATACAGTGGGAGTTGATTTAACAGCTCAATGCCCTTAATAGTTCTGATTGTCCTGATTTTCAGGGTTATTGAGCTTGAATGTATAAGCAAACGGCAAAGGATAGCATTGTTGTTGACTTTTGTGAGGATGAAAGCCTAACAACAGTATAACCACTCCTTTGAAGGTCCCCGCCCCCAACACACACACACTTGATCTCAGGTTTCTCTGTGGAGGTTAATCTGATCCTGCTACATTAAAAATCAGCTCGTGTCTACGTGAAGCGTGTGTCTGAAGTGTGTGTGAAGATAGGCAGGAGTAGCACAGTGAGGTGTCCTCTAAGTGCTATTAACTAGTGGTCACAAGCCAGTTCCTTTTCTACAAGTGTGCGTCGCCCAGGGGCCCTTGCTCCAGAGCACCCCTCTGCCATGGGTCTTTGGCCCATTGATTTCACTGGGTCTCTCTTGAGCATGCTCTCTTTGGCTTCTTTGTGTGTGGGAAGGGGTAAGGGAGGAGTTGATTGTCCAGCCCTCCTTCAAACAAAGAGGGTACCAGCACACACAGGTATATGAGTATCAGCTGGGATCCTACTTGCCTTTGCACTCAGGGCCAGAGCTGTCTAATTGATAACTCGAGACTACTTTTCTTAAGGATTTTGCCCTCCATGGTTTAAGGGCCAAGTGTTTGCCTTATTAACGAACAGACAAGGACCCTGGAATGTGTCCAACTCTGTAAGAGTGTCATGTTAGCAGGTGGTGGCAACACCCCTTTAACATCCTGCTGAATCGTCCCAGACATTGTTAGTTGTCCACCCCCAACTCTGGTGCCATTGTATTGTTGTGTTGTCCCCAGTAGCCCCTCGACGCAGGGCACAGGTTTCAAGGCCTAGGGCAGCCCTCTGTTTTTGAAGCAGCAGCAGCGAGAAGCTCCATGAGGAAGCAGCTTGCTTTCACATAAGGTGATGTTCTGACTCCTGTCTTCCTCTCCCATCTTACCACCCCAATTTCTACTCCCCAGTCAGCTTGGTTCTTTGTAGCTCCGATCTGTCACCCCTTAATGAAGTGGCTTTCTGGCTGCCGAGGATTGAGAGCTGTTACTGCGGAAAGCAAGTCACTAATAGAATGGAAAACACTGAAATACTCTGAGGTGCCAAGCTGGGCCCAGCCCAGTGTGGTTCTAAACGGCTAATAAAAATCCACCAATTAATTGTGACAGCTCAATGGAAAATTATTCAATTGTGAACAGGGGCAAGCTGCAGCTCAGAAGGAGGAGGGGGAATGTTGCTATAGTAACATCAATATAAGTTCTCATTTCAGAAAGCAGTTGAAGCGAACAGCATCAGACTGCGGCACCTGACATGGGATGAGAGGCAGGAGACACCAAAGCCGAGAGTGAGAGGGCTGCTCTGCCCGCCCCAGGCCTGCAGCCGTCGCGTGTTGAGCTCTGGCTTTCCCAGGTGGAGAGGTCATTTTCCCAATGCTGCTTGCTCTGAGAAACCAGGGAAGGAGCAGTCAAGTGGGGAGAAAAATAGACCCTCCATGTGCTTCCCTGTGCCTTTTGACTATGGGTATTTTACCAACTGCCAATTAAGGGGATGCTCAGAGAGGTGTGTGGGTATGTGCGGCACAATTTCCATTTCCCCAACGTTCAGCCATTTGCAGCTCAGGAAAATGAAGTTCCTCAGGCACTGAGGGCCTGTAGTTAAAAGTCAGGGGAGCTTCAGCGATTGTTACAACTTTTATTTCAAAAGATGCACACAACACATGTCCTGTTTTGAACATTTGAAATACAGCCTTGCCAGAGCAGACATTATTCCTTCCTCATTCATCTCCTAGGGGACTTGGGGCTTGACAGATACCCTGGCACAGAGACAGAAGGACAGTTACCAGGCAGACAAACAGCTGAGTCAGAGGCCATCCTACTCCAGAGTAGTGCTTTCTTGCCAGAGGGATCTTGGGTTGATGGGCTGGAAAACAGGATTTTCTTTCTTTCTTTTTTTCCCCCCCCATTTTTAACTTTGAGAACCATAGCCTGTACCCAGTGGAATGTACTGATTCACAGTTGCATTGTGGATGTCAGCTACAGACATCCCTATGGAGGCTGTCAAAACTTTGATTACCTCACGATCATCACTCAGTCCCCCTGCCTTCACGTGGAGCCGGCACAACCAGCTCTGCCCGTTCCCATTCATTGCAGAGCAACGTGCTCAGCTCCGTGCTCCTGGGGCCGGGGGACTGAGACCACCAGGGGAGGGAGGGCGGTTGAGACCGCAACGGGCTTTATCAGCTAGCTGGAACAACGGTAGCATTTTCTTCTTAATCAGATTACAACTTCCCTTTTTCCTGCTTTTGGGGTTTTGTTTTACTTCAGCAGAGTTGGAAATCAAAAGTAAACACCTAACCAAATCTGCTAATGATTGGTAATAATAAAACCGAAGTTGTCTTCATGTCTTGGTCTTTGAAGCTTGAGGAGAAGACTGGGTGAAATGAGGCGAAGGTCGGTGGGGGCACCCTTTCCAGGCCACCGCAGCCCCTTCACCGCCGGCCAAAGCGGAAGCTGAAGCCACCTTTCTTCCTACTGTAGCCGTTGAGCTCCTCGGCCAGGTTGCCCAGTGGGCCACTGGCCTTCTCGCCATCAGCTGGGAGAAAGCTGGTGGCCTCGCCGCCATCATCCTGCCTCCCAAACCGAAACCGGAAACTGGCACTCGGCAGCTCTTTGGCTATGACGAGCAGGGCCAGCGGCTGGGGAGCTCTTGGCTGCCGGGAGGAGCCCCACACGAAGTTAGGTCGGTGCCCCCGGGCCATCTCAGCCCAGCGCATCTCAGCTCTGATGCCACCCATGGTCTCTCCAGGCTCATCTCTGTCCACTAGAGGAAAGCAGGTGCCCAGTGACAGGAGGAGGAGGTAGGACAGGGAGTAAAGGCACATCACCTGACCCGGAGGGAGAGAGGAGAGGAGGTTACAGGCTGTACATGTGGGGCGTGTGCAACAGCTTGTCAACGGCACTTCCCGGGGTCCCAGCGACCGCTGAGGCACGAGCTGGTGCCACCACGGAGCCTGATTCCAGCCAGCGTTGGGAACTGTCACTAGGCTGGGACCAGGCCTTTATTTTCTTAGCAGGCTCCGGAGCTGATTGCACCAATTAGGCTGGTTCTCACTCTCCTGAAATCCCCTGGATTTGACTGCCTCTGCCTCTCGGCGCTGTAATACCGCAGCTGTCGGAATGGCTTACAGCCGTGCAGGCCGCCCCCAGGAGAGCCACGGGGATTTGGGTTCATTTTTCTTTTATTATAATTATTGACTCTTGGGCCATATCATCTCAGAGCCATTGGGTAGAAAGTTAAAAGCATCAATCTCCGTTTTCAACTTAATAATAAATGGATCTGGGTAAAACTGTTTAGCTGGGCCACTCTGCTAACGTCTCTAACGTGGAAATGAGTGGCTCCAAACACCAGGAAGTGGATTTGATGGTCCTAGCCTGGCTTACAGAGATAGCCTATGTAGGGGGCGGGAAAAAGGAGTGGGGGAGCCTGCAGAGAGGGGTGGACCATGTCTGAGCCAAAAACTCACTTCCCAGTAAACCTAATTCATAGGTACTGTTACTCCCATTTTTTCAGACAAGAAAACTATGGGAAAGGCTAAGCGATTGTGCTCAGATCTCACAGGTAGGAGGCCGCAGTGCTGGGATACGTGATTCCAGTTGGGAGAGATTCTCGGCACATCAGACCTGTGTGCAGCGCTTTCTGTACACACCGGGGGCAATCTGCGAAAATCAACAGGAGGGGGTATTTTACCCCAACTTTACAGAGGAGGAAGGAGCTCTGGTGGCACAGGGCCTAAGGCATTTGACTGCTGCTAACCAGAAGGAAAATGGAGCAGTCTACTTCCATAAAAATTTACTACCCAAAGATTTGGAAGCCCAGTGGAGGGCGCTATGAGTCAGAATTGACTCGATGGCAGTGGTTTTTAAAACAGGCACTCTGGTGGTGTAGTGGTTAAGGCATTTGGCTGCTAACCGAAAGGTCAGTGGTTTGAACCCACCACCTACTCCACGGAAGATGAGGCGGTCTATCTCTGGAATGATTTACTGCCTTGGAAACCCATTGGAGGTGTCTGTGAGTCAGAATCTGCTCCATGGCAGTGAGTTTTGTTTTGTTTTGTTTTAATAGAGAAAGAAGGGGCACTGGTGGCACTGTAGTTAAAGCATTGGGTTGCTAATCAAATGGTCAGCAGTTCAAACCAGCCAACCACTCCACAGGAGAAAGATGAAGCAGTCTGCTTCCATAAAGATTTATAGCCTTGGAAACCCTATGGAGCAGTCCTACTCTATCTTACAGGGTCACTGAGTCTGAATCGACTCCATGGCAGTGGGGTTGGTTTTTGGGTTTGCAGAGGAGGAATCGGGTTCAGCAGGGAGGTGACTTGGCAAAGATCTCATGGCTTTAAAACAGCAGAGCTGGAATTCAAGACCAGACCTAATTGGGCTTGGCTCCAGGAGGCTGCTCTGTACTCTGTGTGGCAGCCCATGTTGTTGTTGCTGTTGTTATGTGCCGTCAAGTCAGCCCCAACTCATAGCAACCCCTCCTTGGGTTTCCGAGGCAGTACCATAGGGGATTTGAAACAGAAGCAGAGCTGCCCAGAGAGTGCCCCGGCCTCAACAGCAATTGCTGTCTTCTCTCGCAAAGGAAGCCTTGCTGGTAACGACCAGGGGAGGATTGGAGCCAACTTCGGAGGCGAAGAGGAACACTGAGGCTGGAGTCGAGAGCCAGTTCTAGAGAAGATAGCATAGGACTTCCGAGAGCTTTTTCTGGAAATGGTTCCCTTGAAAGCCTTTGAGAGACATGAACTCAGCCAAAAGCTTCAAAAATAAAAAAATAAAAGCAACCTTCTCTCTATCCAAACCCAGCTCTCCTAAGTCCCTCTAGTCCCCACAGGACCTGGGCAGAGTGGGGAACTAGCCTCTCAGAAGATGGCTCTCTACTGGGGAGGAGCCCCATCCCTTCCATGTCACTGGGACTGAGGAATGCGCCACCCCAGTGGACAAATCCGGCCTGGGGCTGGCCTCTGGTTTTTGAGAAAGGATAGCAGGAGGAGGCCGTCTCCCCTTTAGGGAGTCATGGACATCTCCAAGAATCTGAAAGGACGCTCACCACTGAAAATTGGGCCCCAACCCAAGTCAGGGCTCTAGACCTCACAGTTCACAACACACAAGGAAAAGCACAGGACTGGGGTCTAGCCCAGGTGGGCATCTTGGGCCAATATGCACTGGTCATTAAGATGAAGGGCTGGTCTATCTCTCTAGGCTTCCCCAGCCCTATGGACCTGTGTACTCTCTGGCAGTCCATGCCCAGCCCCTGACCCAGACAAGGACTGAAGCCAGAGTTCCCACTAGTGATGGGTGACTGTACTTACCATGTTGCTAGCTTCCTCTCCCCACGTGGGATGGTGGATCTTCAGGCTCCAGGGAAGGCTGGGTGGAGCTGCTCCAGGTTCTTGTCCAGGAAGTGTGACTCCTGGGTTCTCTTTGCTTTAAATAGGCCTCCTGGGTGTATTTGCCACTTGTGCTGCCTGATTGCTGTACATTCCAGACCCTGGGATTCCATTGGGAACACCGGTGGTGAAGGAAGAGGCAGTGCTTGGTTGATAAAAGACCCAGCACAAACAGGATGTAGTCTGATGAGAGGGACAGGTGGGGCTGCCCTTTGCCCAGAGGCTGCCTCATTTGGAGAAGATTGGCAGCATCATTAACTATGAATTGCAGCCCTGGACCCTTGAGTCCCTTGGAGGCGGCACTTGATGCCCACCTATAATGATCCTAGTGTGGCTGCCTTTGTTGAGTGAGCCTCACTGTCTCCCTCCTGCCCAGCTAGCATGACCACCACTCATCTGAGTTGATACACACCTGTGAGAACAGCAATTGCCAGTCACTTTATTATTACTATTAATATTTTTTAACTTTTGTGGTGAAAACACAAGATATTCATCCACATAACAACTTCCACATTTATAGCTTAGGGACACTGATGACATTTTCCATGTGCCACCATTATTGCTATCCCTTTCCAAAATGTTCCACTACCATTTCGCATTAACTCAATACCCCGCAAACAAAAGCTTCCCCTTTCCCCTCCCTCCTACCCCTGGTAACCACTCATCTTTGCTTCCTCTCTCTATATATTTTCTGTTGTTGTTACGTGCTGTCGAGTTGGCCCCGACTCAGTGACCCCTCCTTGGGTTTCTGAGGCAATATCTTTACGGAAGTAGATTGCCCCATCTTCCTTCTGAGGAGTGGCTGGTGAGTTTGAACCGCCAGCCTTCTGGTTAGCAGTGAAGTGCCTTAGGCACTATGCTATATATATATATGTGTGTGTGTGTGTGTGTGTGTGTGTGTCTTTTTTTTCCCCCCAGTCTGTCTGGGAATTTTACTTTCCTTCCCCTCCACTCCCCTCCCCTCCCTGGTAACCAACAAAGAAAGTTTCCTTCCATGTGTAAACTTTTTACAATAGTGGACTAATACAATATTTGTCCTTCTGTGATTGACTTACTTCACTCAGCACAATGTACTCCAACTTCATCCATGTTACGCAGTGTTTTGCTGATTGTAGCTTATTCTTTAGTGTTGCATAGTATTCCATTGTGTGTCTGTTATCACAGTTTGGTTGTCCATTCCTCCATTGATGGGCACTTAGGTTGTTTCCATCTCTTTGCTATTGTAAATAGTGCTGCCATGAACATGGGTGTGCTGTTGATAGACTTACTGTTTCAGAGCAGTTTTAGGATTACAGAAAAATTGAGCAGCCAGTACAGAGAGTCCCTGTACGCACCCTATCCATCCTGCACAGTTTCTTCCATTAACATCTTGCATCGGTGTGGTCCATTTGTTACCATTGGGGAATTGTTACTGGCACGTCATTATTAACTAAAGTCCATAGTTGACAGCAGGGCTCGCTGTGTGGTGTGTGGTTCTGTGGGTTCTGACAAATGTGTAATGTCATGTGTCTATCATGCCCTATGCTGCACTTCTCACATCCTCACCCTCAACCCTTGGTGACCTCTGACCGTTTTACTGGCTCTGTGGTTTTGCCTTTTCCAGAATGCCTCATACAAGTAGTCCCTGACTCACAGATCTGGTGATTCCTTGTAAATTGGTTCTGATGGGAGTTGAAGACCTTTCTTGCCCTAGTTTTCATCATTATTGCCTTTTATTATCAGTATTTTTATAAATCTGAACTTTGAACATCTGCAAGTGAACACTTGAGGATGGTGACATTAGCAGACTACACACTGCAGTATTGTATGTAGTACATATTACTAATGATAGGGTGTACAAAAACATAAAAAAGACAGTCGTGTGTTTTGTCGTAACCGGATTGCGTCATCAGTCTCACGAGTCGGGACTGCCTGTGGTTGGAACCGTGCCGTATGCAGCCTTTTCAGACTGGCTTCTTTTGCTGCTGCTTGTTGTTAGGTGTCATTGAGTCTGCTCCGACTCATAGTGACCCTGTGCACTACAGAACGAAACACTGCCCAGTCCCGTGCCAGCCTCATGATCCTTGCTATACCTGAGCCCGTCGTCGCAGCCACAGTGTCAGTCCGGTTGGGCTACCCCCGCCCCAGGTCTGCACAGACAGCAGAGATGGGAGGGCACACAGCAGAAAGGAGGAGGGGCCCCGGGGCATGGGCATGGGCAAGCCCGAGCCCAGGGCAGTGGGTGTGGGCCCTGGAGGCACCCCTAGCTCCCTCCATCTGTCGCTCAGCCTGGTGTCCTGCTGGGCCTTTGCCCCTGGTGACCCTGTGTTGTGTCTGAGGAACACCTGTGGGGAGACCAGCAAGAGGTGCCAAGGTGATGGTTGCCCAGCCATTGCACTGCCAGTCCCGCGACCCCAGCCCCCTCTTTCCTTCCGTCCCCCCCCCGCGTAGATTTTCCTCTGCTGAGGAGCAAGCAGCAGGGCTGTGTGTGAGCTGCTGCTGTGAGGCCGCGGCCACCCTGGGATTGTCGGAGGGTAGCTGCCCAGACTAAGCCACAAAACTGAGACAGGATTTTTCCCAGGCCCCAGGAACCCTCAGCCACTGGTGCACCTGAAGCCTGTGGGAGCTGTGGTGAGGGGTCAGGAAATCACACCACAGGGCCTCAACCCAGGGATAGAGAGCCTTGAAGACACCCCGCCCCCCCGCCCCCAGCGATCAGAGGAAGTGGACTGGAATTTTTACTTCCCCCCATGCAGGGGAAATGGAAATCTCTTGCCATGCTAGAGGGCTAGAGCACCAGGCAGGCCAG